ATATATATATAAATATATATAAAATATTCTAAACTGCAGTGGAACTGCCACATTTAAAAATATTTGCAACATTTAAAACAACAATTTAAAATTAAATCTCTCTCAGTTGTACTCACAATTTGATTACAATTCTGTAAGTATTGAAACATTATGTGAAAGGCCAAAATTATGTATGTAAGAAGAAGAAAGACATAAAAAGGATTACTTATTTCTAGTGGCTTCTAGGTGTTTTCTCTTAACAGAGTCTGAACACTCAATCTAATATGGAAAACAACATACCACATATCTGATGTCTTTTACAATTATGCCATTTTTTTATATGCTATCACTTGAACACAACATTATCTCTAGAATTTTAAAATATGTACTCAGTCTTACTTATTAAACTACAGGTTTTCAGAGCTTAATCTCAGTAAAAAAACAAAACACAACACAACACAAAATAAAATAAAAAAGCATCTTCTGTGTACCTTACCTTTTGTGCAAAATGACAGCAGATACTACATCTTTTCTCCTATTATGTATCGCTTCATGGAAAAAAGAAGCTACCGCTTTGTTGAACAGAATTTTCGCACCATAGTCAAGAAGTAACCTTACTGCTTTTGCATGTCCTTCTCTTGCAGCCAAGTGCAAAGCTGTGTTCTGTGCAGAAAAGTAGTACAGCAGTGCATCCATGAGAATAATTAAAAAAAAAAAACATATTTCATTCCTTTCCCACGTTGAAAAGTCACGTTATTCCGAGTTGCAAGTCCTGAATACTTTTGCCAGGAACATTAAAATGTAGAATATTGTCACAGAGATTCTGAGAGATATTACAGAAAAGTTTTTTATTCTATGTCTACAGCTACAGTAGTGCTAAATCTGAAGAGGAAACTCAGTTGTAGGTAAGAAAAGCCAATTTATTAATATCTTCTAGTTTTGTAACTAACAAACTGCAAGTCACAAATAGGTAAAAATGATGGTATCTACAGATACAGAAGACCAAATAAGTAAAATTGATAATCAGGAAGAGAAGCATCCAATTATATCCAGATATGCTTATACAAAGATATCTGCGAGAAAATCTGCAGGCACAGTTTTATAAGAGGAACATATTTTTCTTTGGTATATTCACAAAAGTAAGGCAATGAGTGGTTTAGGAATCAAGTCACACTGAAAATGACTTTTGAAAGCCTTCCCAACTCACCCCGATTTTTCTGAGAGATATTGAGAACTAAGCATTGGCTTCTCATTAATTTCTAGGCAAGATTTGGTCCTAATATAATAATTCTAAATGTTTTCAACACCAGTTCTCAGAGAAATTAGCAACACCTTCTGTGTTGGAAACTGAATAGTTCTTTAAAATGACCACCCTATGTTTTCTGATGGGGAACTGTGAGGCAGGCTCGTACAAGACATCTCCAATCTAGGAAATGGATTCTGCATTTACCCAAACTTCAGAGCAAGATAGGAGCTGTATCTGCTGCACATCACTGTGTAGAACAGGTGGATTTCAAACAACAGTTTAAGCTGATGAGTTATAGTTGATGGTGGATTTCTTTTAATCTGTATAAGCTCTTTAAATTTAAATTACCGATGTTTGTACCACATTGTTAAAATACTCCTGCATTTTAAAGGGGGCAAGAGAGACATGTATACTCGGTATTTTATGCTTTCTATTAGGCTATTTGCTTTTTTTTGGTCTCCCACTAATAAGAATTAGATAACAACTTCAGCCATCATATATTAATCTAAGCAATAAACTTTAAGAGTGGTGAAATATAAAGACTTTAAATCTGCCACGGGAAATGAAATAGTAGACATGTAATGCGCAGCTGAAAACTACTAATAGCATACCACTGACGTTTTGTCTAGAAATAATAGCAGACAAGAAACAAATAAAGCTATGTGAACACATACCCCTTCTTCATCCACTCTGTCAGTACACTTCACGTTAGTATCCAAAATGATCTGCATTGTGCGAGTGTATCCTCCAAAGGCAGCATGGTGCAGGGCTGTCCAGCCTTTATAATCACTTACATGTAGCAGTATAAAATTAGCAATTATAAATGATTTTTTAAAATAAATTTAAAATAAATATAAATGCCTAAAATGGCATGATTACTGCAGAGATGTTTGTGACTTCTGTCAGCTATTATGTGACTATCAACACATCACTTGGAAATAAAAGGTTCAACTCAATAATAGTATTTGGATCTCCCTCTCTCTTCTCTCTCTTTTTCTGTATATATCTGGAATGCACCCATTTTCTTATATTTCCCTTGAAAATGACTCAAAAGCTTGCAATATTTGGTTACTAATACTCGGCAACAGATGTGACATAGAGCATGGCCATGTTATGGAATTTTGCATTTAAAGACAGTGAATATACAAAACATTATAAGCACACAAATCTATTCCCATTAATATTACTTCATCTTAGTATAATGAAACTCATTAAGCCTTTTATCACATAGAACCTGCTGGAACATTTTTAAAAAATGCCAGTCTTAGGTCTAAATTAAGCCTAAATACATACACAAATACATGTGTACACATATACATACATACATAAACTTATGTATGTATATGTATAACATCATCTCTATCTTTGCTAGGTGTACTAGTCCAGCTAAGGACACTGGAAATAAAGAGTTTGACAACGGGTCCTTCAGAGTCACAAATAACGAACGTATGTGCTAAAGGATCTCCTCAGAACACTTGGGCCTGTAGCTGCAGTGGACTTGGAAGCACAGGACTTGAAAATTAAAGCTCTAGACTGTACCTTGGAAACAAGACTCTCAACTTTTGGTAACTTTGGCTCCTGTCTTTACAGGTGTGGGCCTGGAAGATTTTGTGGAGCTGCCAATGATCTGAGGATCTTTGACCTGAAATCAGGACTTAGAGTGCAAGGCAAGTTGCCTGTGAACTACCAGTCCTACGAAACCCTACTCAAGCCTGTAAGTGAAGCTGATGTGATTATAATATTTCAAAACCAATATTTTTTCCAGCAAAAGGTTCAATATTCTCTCAGTTGGATTTGAGAAACCTCAGTTTCCCCAGCATTAGAAGAGTTGCTTTACAGCTAGCCATGTTTCTATGTGTCAGGCAGAAGTAAGGCACAGTTTAGTTTAGTGACTATTTTATAAATATGCTTTTACAGTGTATCTTTATATTTGTATATATTAAAATATAAAATATTTTAATATCTCATATTGATATTTATATTGTATTAACTTCCCAGCATACGGACATAAAATGTAGGGTGTTAGCTCTTTTTTTCCCTAATGAATGGAAATCTGTATACTTACCAGAGAAAAAGAGCCCCTCTCTTCAGAAGAAACTGAACTACCTTCTCATGACCATTCTGGGCTGCCAAATGAAGGGGAGTCATTCCCTTCTTATCACCTTCATTCAAAAGTCTTGTGTCTTTCATATCTCTTATAAGTCGTTGACATGTATTGATGCGCCCATAGCTTTGAAAGATGAACATAGAAATTAATGTCAAAAAATATGGATGGAAAAAATGGCATTGATTCCATAGCCTAGACTGCACTACTAACCTGGCAGCAAAGTGTAACGGTGACTTCTTGTCCCTGCTCTTAGAGTAGATGGAAACGTTGAGGCTGAGTAAATTATTTACAGAGAGGGCCACACCTTGTCTACATGCATAATGCAATGGAGTGCATCCTTCATTATCTTCATCCACTACAAGATTTTTAATATGTTCCATCTGTTACCCCCCAAAAAACCCCAAAAGCACATAATTAGATTTATATCACTAATACTCCACAGCTTCTAATAGTTTGTAACAATAGCATTAATACTTTAAAGCAGTATCTAAAAATAAGAAACTTTAGGAAAAGTAAATGTAGCAACAATGAGCATTTAATGTCTGCTAATTTGTGGGTCACCATTTTTTCAAATGGCTACTCTTTGAAGAATACCACAATTTGCCACTCTGCACTCTTACTGCAATCCATCCACAGTACAAGTCTAATACAGGAGATTCTTCTTTGCTGCCATTCAACCATAACACTGCTGTCAGCAGAAGGCTTGTGCAGAATGTAAGGGTAGTCTATAGTCTGTATTCAGTAGGCAAACTTCTGGCTGTCAAGAACTATCCGTTCACCAGTTTAAAGTGTAATTTTTTTTCTCCCTTTCCTCTTTCTCATCTTCATTTCCCTGCTATTCCTCTGTACCTTGTCTAAGACTACCCTACATATAGTCTTTTTTAAAGCAACTAAAAATCTCCTCCTCTGGTGTGCTCCACTCCTTTATCTGAATATTAGCGCGATCAATAATTAGAAAGTCAATGCAGACAACTGAGAGTTATCACTCTGGTTTAAAATTGATTCTCTACATCTGCTGAAAAGGGAGGTTAAATCCATTCTGCATTACTAATCAAAGTTGTTTACACATTTCAGCAGACATTGTAAGATCAGTCACACTTGATTCACATTTAAAAGGTTGTTTCTGGAGCTCTGGAGGCCCACAAATTTAACTCTTTCAAGAGAGCTTCGGGTCTAGCAATATGAGTGCTTCACCTCATCACAGACAAATACAAATCCATGTTTCACATAATTTTAAAACTAAATCCAAGTCTTCATTACAGTCCAGACCACACAAAGCTCCTGCAGAATATGCTGTAAGCTATTTAAGTCCTAGAACTTGACTGAATATGAGCACATCCCCCAGCTTTACTGCATGCAAGCTGGGAAAATAGAAGTGAAAAGTTCTATATTTTATTGCCTACCTCTTGAGCTATTCAATCCCCCACAGCAAAATAACTTATGGAATTATGTTATTCCTTTGCCTGGCAATAAGAAAACTGTATTATTGGCTTTGAAATGTTTTCATGAGAGATATGTACCTCTTCAAACTATTTTTTGTGACACTGGGCAACTTAACAAGTATGATAAACTTTTACAAACATTCTAGAACAAAACGGTAGTTGCTTTTTTCTTTACATTTTCTAGTAAGGGCAACAGAAAGACATACACTGATGCTTACTGTACCTGCAGAAATTTCTCATTCAGATGCTGTAATCCTCCAGGCTGCAATACCGTCAAATGCAAGAAATTCCGACCGAGATGATCTTTTAATGATACATTTGCTCCTAGATAAATATGGAAATAAATACCAGCAACTTCAAAACTGCCGGGCCCTGGCACTAATTGATGGTGTTTAAGACAAAGAAACAAATGTTGAACAACTGTGTTTATAAACCTATAAAACAACAAACATTGTTTCAAGTCAACATTATAGCATAAATTTTACTTACAAAAAAACCCTTACTGACACTCAGATTTCATCATTATCTCATGTGTGTATGCATTTTGTATTTCACTGAAGCACTAAGATTTATGTGGGGCCCTTATATTCAGAGACACTGAGCACCCACAAATCAAGAGGCAAATTAAAGATGCAGATGATCACCTCTTCTAATCTTTTAAAGTTGCAATCTTGTTTCGGCTTCAAAACTTATTACAGGGCTTGTTAACATAATCAGTTATATTACTACTAACAAGAGGAAATATAGTAACAATAATTAGCTTGCACCAAAAGTGTAGCAATTGAAAGATATAGCTCAAACATTTTTCAAGGTGACTGTGATTATGTAAAATCACAGGTAACACTTGAAAGATAGGATTAACATTCAAAGACTTTTTGCTAGTATGAAACATGACTCTGTATAAGTGGTACACTTATTCCACAGTTCTGCTTACTTTGTGAACTGCTAAGGAATGCAGGGATGGAATGCCAGTGCCACCTCTACCTTGAGAAGCATGACACATGGCATATACATTTTTCTAGAGCCTGTTCATTCTGTATGAAAAAGGGTGAAATCATCACTCTAATTCTTCCTTTATCTCAGGGGATATCAGCACTGTGCAGCTGTTTAGCTCAACTGCTCCTGGACCATATGCTGAAGTACTGAACTGAAATTGAGACAAAAGTTAGATGTAGGTTTTAACATGCATGAACCCTGCTCAAATGAAGTATATTATATGTGTATATTCCTTTTTACCTTTTGAGAGCAGTAAATTCACAATTTTCCATGATGCACAGGATGTGGCCAACAGAAGTGGGGATCGGCCTTCTATGTCAACACTATTAATATTAGCCCCCTGCAATAAAGAATTTCAAGTTTATCATGAATAACAAGTAAATGAAATTTTAAAATGGTGCTGCCCATTATAAGCATAGCAGAATTACTCTTTCAAGAGAGTAATTCTTAGTAACTCCAGATACCAATTCAATAAACATTTTATATAAAAGTCTATATATAAACTCACTATATAAAACTACTATGTTTTCAAACTATCAGCCACATCCCAGTCATCTATATATATAAATTTAGATGCCTGGATAATAGCGGCCTACTTCTAGGTATACTGAACTCAGGACTCATGATTTTTTGCTAGCATACCTTTCCATGCATTTAAATACTCAAAATAAATAATTCTAATTTGAAGATACTGGGATTAAAGCTCTGGAGAAATACAGAAACCACAGCTCTTTCGAATGATGTGCTCTTACCTATCAAACAATTACCAGAACAAGACTCTTTCGAATCTCTATACTATATGGATGCTGTTCAGGAAGTAACCAGAGATTAGTATAGTTTGATCTGTATAGCTTGATCTATCTTCATTTTCTATTCTTCATCATAAGCTATATGAGCCAAGTTAATTCTGTCCCCAAAGTAGCTGTATCAACAGTGGACACATTTTTATTCTGCAAACTCAAGGTTTTTGATATGACCTTTCTCCTTAGGGGAAGCACAAGGACTGGAATGAGATATCCTGGCAAAAGCCCAGTTTTGCTGTTTTGTCTATTTTGGCACAAGATACATATTGCCAGGACAGTATGGTCACTATGGTCACAGTATCACTATGATCATATCAGCAAAATACTATGATCATAAACATATCTATCTAAAAAATCCCACCAACAAGGGAGTACAAAGATACAATGAACCAATGAGAAATATGTATATTTTATGATGTTTTAGATATAATTTTTCTAGATATTGAGTTGCAAGTCAAATTAGATGAACAAAGTACACAAAAAATCTATTTTATTTCAGATAATATCCAAAGATCATGGATAAAAATAAATCAATGGGAGTTTTTCCATTAACTTGAATCATCTTTGGGTCCAGTCCTAATTCAAGAGAGAATTAATCATAATCATAAACAATATTTACTTTCTAGGATGGTAAAACCTGTAATGTAGCAATAAGAAACATTTATTAATGTACAATGATTACTTTACCACAGAGAACAGGAAGCTTCTGATGTATGCTCATTAAATGTTTAGAGACTACCACATGCAGGACCTTTTCCCCAGTTACCTTTCTACCACGTCAGACAACCTCTTAAAAATGTTCTTATTCATCAAAGAAACAGAGACCGTGTTTTATCCAAGTGGCTCATTCATTTCAGTGAATACAGAGTAGCAATTTCCAGTTAATAATGCAATCTTTAATCATCTTCCCTCCAGATAATATCATTGTTCAGCCTTCAGCAAAATGAATTCAGCAACATTCATCATTATTTATCACTATAAGGAGTAACTCATATATTGCCAATATATTTACCACATTTATGATAGAGCTGAATTAAGAGCTTTTAAATTTAGTTTCTGAACTCCTTTTACTTTTGCATTTATACATTAATTTATATGAATTAAGCAGACATTAATAAAAAAAATATTATGCAAATTTTGTAAATATCAACTCCTATTTATACCAATTTAATCTTTCATTTTTCTTTTAGTGAAGACAAAAAGCAAAAGGGGAAAAAGAATGTAAAAACAAAAAGGCAAGAAAATATATAAAATTATTGCTTATTTACTTTGAATAAGCATGTATCAATAAAATTAATGAAGCAAAATCAGGAAGCACCAGACATCTCAGCGTTAAATTGTCCAGTACACAAGAAAAAAAAAACCAAAACACCAACACTAAAAGCTGCAGGAAAATTATTAAGATACTGACTAAATCATGAGAACTTTTGAATTTTCATGTCTTTATTCTTCTTTATAGTTTTGCACATAGCTTCCAAACACAATCACGCCACTTGCACACACAAACCAGATACTGTGCACTTAATTGTCAAATGTGACAATGGCCACTGACATTATTGTTAAAGTAATTGTCCTTAAAATGCTTAACTTGCAAATCAATTTTTAAGTGGTGCTTCTTTAAAGCTATTAAATTTTGTAATGTTTAGAAGTTGGGAATACTGATGTAGGTTTCTGTCTTTTCCCTTTTATTAAGGCTTCAGCTAGCCTTCAGTTATGGCAAACCATAGCTGTACATCTCACCAATACAAGAGCATGTACTCATTGCCACATTATGTTGAGGCCAAATCCAAAATAATGAAGAACTCTTCAAGAAATACCTGTAGAGTTTGATCCTCTGATTTTTTGTGTAGCACACTGACCTACAACTTAGAAAAAATATGGTGTAATTTAAATGTAAAAACCATACATAGTGTGCCTGGACAATTCTGTTTAGGATAGATAAACTTACCTTTTCTATCTAGAAGAAATAGGTCTAACACTCTATCTGTTTACAATGGCTTTTATTTTCAGACACAAAAAGTACAAAAAAATCAGATAAAGGAAGTAATCATTGTAAGTTAATGTGCGTGAAAAGTGGACAATTAATGTATAAGATAAAAAAAAACCCAAACCAGAAAGCCATTCTGAACTGGAATTTCCTATTCCTTTTCAGCAGTAACATTGCTCCACCTTTTCTTTTTCACCCTTGTGTACACCACAGCATATGTGATACCTAATGATCTTGCCAGGAGTGCAAGTGAGCAGGCAGCACAGGTTGTGCCGCATCCCACTAACCCCAACTGGCATATTTTGATCCACTCCCACACAGGGCAAATGAAAACAATCCTAAAGCTTCAAACCTGACATACTTTATATGGAAAGCCAAAGAAATCCTCAGCATAGGCCAAAATAGTAAAAACAACACTCAAGGAATAGAAGTTTGTTCTTAGCAAATGCAATGTTAAAGATATTCCCTCTAATACTTTGTGCACACAAGCCCCCACGTGCAAAAGGTTGTGCCTGTATTTCTCAGGTAATAACTTCTGTAGATAGGTCATTTTGTCAGACACGCTCAAGCAGTCAAACCTCACCATTTCACATCTGAATTAGAAATAAGCACAACATTTAGTTCTAAAACCAATCCCTGCAACAGAGATTCTGAGAAAAGCAAAACTGAATTAAGAGGAGAATTTTTCTTAATAGAATTGTCATGAAATTAAGTAAAAAACCTAAACATACAGAAAATGAACAAGAAGTCTGCTGACTTCTGAAAATTTCCTCAGCAGAGTTGGGCATATAATAGTTATATGAGCCTTAGTTTAATTGGTATAAATGGATGCTTGGAGCATAGCCAGTTACATCTCTTCTCTTTCTTCCTCATGTTTATTCAGGAAAGAAATATAACCAAACTACATTGAGTAAAGACTGTTTCTAGATCATGCGCAAACTTCAGTATATGGCTACGTGATCCAAGAACAATCGTATATACATACCTTAAAGAAAGGATTTCTTTCTGGAAAAATCAGATTAAATTTAATGCATGTTTAGCATTTATTTCATGTTTCTCATCTTAAAAGTGAGGATGACTGAACCAGTTTGGCATATTAGGTAAAAGATGTTTATGAAGCCTTACTGAGTAAGTAAAAATGGAAATAAAAATGCAAGTTTCCATCCTCTGTAACTATGGGATGCTATTATAGAGCCATAACTGCTGTTGTATGCAACTGTCAATTATGCATTATGAAGTAGATTTTTTTATATATATATAAAAATAACCTACACCTGGGAACACATTCTCCTTTACGAATTTCTCTATGCAGCCCTGTAGTAATAGATAGCAATAACCTCTATAAACATGTTACTTGGTTAAATATTTACCATTGAAATCAAATACTCTGCCAGTTCATAATGATCAAACAATGCCGTCCTGTGGGGAAAAATGCAAAAATACAGTAACATTAGAAAGGACAATAAAGTTTCAAGCCAAAGCATATAATTTTTCTCCATTTGCTGCATTTTCTAGTGTTTTCAAACATCTACATTTTAAAATAAAGAGACAGAGAAATTCTTATTATATAATTCATTTTAACAAATTGTTTTGATCTTTGTTATGTAATTTTGGTTTTAAACTAAGTTCAGTTCATTTAATACACTGAAAACTCACTGTGGGAAACAAAAACCTTACTGGTAGGCCAACAGACATTTTACCACTGATTTTTAACATAACCAGTCATTTCACATGTCAAATCTTTTGCTGTACCACACAAGGTCAATCTAGAATTCCATAAATTTCAGGTTCAGTTTGTTCAAGGCAGACCTAAAGTCTTAAATCCATTTCACTGATCTGATCTTCAACAATAACTTGAACAAAAATATATTTTGTATAATAATGCTAGCGGGGTTAAAATGGCAATGACTCAGCTAAACATGTATTCTGACTCTGGCAGGCAAGTCTGCTTGAACAAATATAATATACTGATATAAATCATGGTGACATTTATCAATTTACTAAAAATATGTTAAAGCTGTCTATACACATGAAAAGTTCTTAGATTTTATTCTACAATAAAGCATTGAATTATTTATTATAGGGAAAAAATGCTCAAAGCAGGAAGTATAGCACAGTTAATACACACAGTCTAAATGTTTTCCCAAGTCAGACCGCTATTAAATATTTTGACTTAATGAGCAACACAGAAGGACAGTTCCAAGGTTGTACTGTATCTCAAAGACAACAGTTTCCTTAGCATTATAAGAGGTAATAACATAGGGTGTATTATAGTTAGAACCGATTACTCAAAAGACGTATTTTAAAAATCATGTCATGGTTCCAAATAAGTAGAGATGCCTCCATTATCTATAGCAGCCCCCTCCAGCTAGGCATAAATACTGAATGCTTCACACACACTCAAAATAAATTCCAATGTGCCTGAAGAGAGAGCAAAGTATTTTATAAAATATTTAGATGGAAACATGACAGTAGGAATGTGAATGGATCATGTCCTGATCACTGCTCCTTCACTACTCAACAAGTTAACATTCCTATTGTTTATTTATGTTCTGAGAGATTTGGGTGTCTTTCTACCTTTCTGATGATTCTTGATAATATTTTTTTCCTGTTCCACAGACATATGGAGCAGAGTGTCATTCTTTTTGGTCCAAAGCTTTTTCCAAGGACAGTCTTTTCCATGGATATGACAGCCAGTTATCTATTAAGTAGTACATTGTGTCTGCACAATTTTCTTTGGCATTCTGTCATCACTTTGTCTTCGGTAGTGTTCTATCGCAGTAGCATTTCCAAATGTACCCAAACCTTATCTTAAGTTTACAACACACTCCCCTTTTAAATTCCGTCAATTATCTTTGAATCATTCCACTTTATACCATGTCCAAAGGACAATCATCTCTACTGTCTCTGACTTTCTACCAATTATTTCATATAGTAAAACTCCTACTGTTACTGAATAACACTGTAAAATTACTACACTTCACTTAAATGCAATGAGACATATCTTTCTTGCAAAAATGTATAAATGTGGAAATACACTATCTTCCATTGAGTTGGTAGCATCTTATGCTACAGAAGACTGAGGAAACTCCTAAACCATCTAGCGCTTTGGTTTCAAATGTACTGTGAAAGACTAGAGGTCTAGAGGATTATTACATACACAAACGCCATCTGCAACTTTATAGTCACAGGGAGGTGTACCAACATCTACTTGTACCTGATCAGGTATAAAATAATTTTTTCTGAGGGAAAAAAAAGGTTTTTTAAACTGTTTATATTATTTTTCATTAATTTTCTGGAGAACATAGCCCCATTAGATGAGGGCATTTGTTCCACAACCTCAGAAGCTGTTAACAATTCCATAAACTTGTTCACCTACTACTTCTTTACTGTAGTCAATTTTCACTATAAGCTGTTAGTGAACATTCCCTGACGTGGTTCCAAGGTAACTGGAACTGTTCTGATTTTGGTATCAGCACCAAAATCTTTAACATTCTGACCAAATTACTGATTCTTTCACATTATACTAAAACTCCCATCCCCATGGAGAAGTTCTAACCCATGTGGAAGGGTGTTCCAAAGTATATTATATAAAGTATTACTGGATGTTGAGAATAACTAAGAATATCATGGCTCACAATTTATAGTGAAGTTTGGCAAAGCAGTCTCCTACCTGTGAAGCAATGTTTCCTTGTTCCCATCTACTGCATCAATAATGGATTCCTCACCAGCATAGGATGACATCATTAACTTTACAATCTCAGTTGCTCCTTGAGTGGCTGCAAAATGAAGTGCTGTGCATTTTTCATTCTGTAAATGGGAAAATAAACCAACATTTAAACCCCAACAACCTAACCCTCAACCTACTAAACACACTAATGATCTAGCCTGGGATTTGTAATTCCTAAATGCCGAAATTTCTATGCAGGTAATAAGACTTTAGACTTCAATTAAAATAGTGGAACTCTAAAGAGATCTTAAAGACCAGAAAACACTAAAGAGACAGTTTTAAAGTATCACTACAAAGCTTCTTATTATTCTATGTCAAGTCCCTAAGATATGAGAAAATGAGTGTTCACAATTTTTTGTAGTTGAATTAATAAACAGACACACACAACATCCTTTAATACAAGAAGTGAAGCAAAGGAAAACTACAGGAAACCATAGGTAGACCAGTACAAATGAATAAGCAAATAAATATGCCTATACAATACAGAAAATGCATTCTTTTGAAATGCTTTTTACTTCCTTAAATGGAATCTTCCTTAGGTATCACTCTTAAACAAAATTTTCTGCAGGTTAAAAATAACTTGGTCTAATATGTTATTAAACTATTATAAGCTAGACAGGTGTAAAATTATTAAGCAATAAATAAACGATTAGAACAAGATTTGCCAAAACAGGATTTCGTTTAGCTAGGTGGGACAAACTAGCTTTGATACATGCCCGTGGGCTTTGACTTTCTCCTTGTCAGAACAGGAACATTTCAGTGAATGCATTGGTATGGGGTTTTCCACAGTGCCATAAGCATTTTCAAAACAGTCTTAACCATTACAAAATCGGCAGCATAAATCATCTCATTCAAAAGCTGTGTGTTCAAAGAATCAAACCATCAAAAGAAGGCTAAACCACGCTCTCATGAGTTGATTTCAGCCTTGCAAACAATTTGACTAATGATAGTCAATTTCAGAAATGTTTATTCATCACGAAATTGGGCACAGGCCCTTACACCAACAGTATCACAGGAGCAGCAGTAGTATCATGAATTTGTGCTTGCTTACAAAGCAACTAGAAAGGCCAGGGCAAGGCTGAGGATAAAAAAGAATGACAAGAAAGGGTCAGATTGAATATCCCATTTCTGGGAAGGGATGATAGCAGCTGCATAGCAAAGAGTTTGTGAAGAAGGCTGTACTACAGTGATACTTTTCTGGAGTGCTCTCCCAGACTCTGTTTATGACTCAAGGACTTCCTGACCCAGAGGGGAAGTTGTCGTATTCAGTAGTTAAGGACTGATTTTTCTTCTATCAGTCTGCTCAAATGCATTTTGAATCCATGAAAACTTTTCATATCCACAACATCCTATGTAACTTGTGTAAAGAAACCTGACATTTTGCCTGATTTGAACTAGAGACTTGTTTGCATTTGCTGGTCCGTAGGTTTTGCATCGGAAAAGAAAATGAGCAATGGTTACCTGCTCATCTTTTTTTCATACCACTCAGAGATTTAAAGATATCTAAGTTTTAGCAAAATTGTATTTTGCACCATTTGAAGTTTTACCTGTTTTAGATCAATTTGGGCTCCAAATTCAATGCACATTTTAATCATTTCAAGGTCCCCACTTTGAACCGCCAAATGAAGTGGACTGCACTTTCCATTATTGGTAAAATTGATGTGAGTTTTAGCAGAGTGACCCAATTCTTCACCTGAGAAATGAAAATAAATGGATTTTTTTTAAGCAAGAAAGATAACAGAAGCTATCAAGGCTTTCAAAGCAAGTATATTAACTGTGGAATAATATTCTCCCCTTCCAAATGTGAACCTTTCACATCTATTATTAAACAATGGATGGGTACATATTTAGAAAGGCAGTTAAGCTGCTGCTCCAATCCTATAAAAGTTACTAGCATGAATTGCCCATAGGAACAATTGCATTAACTTCTTCTAAGTTAAGTTCAATCACAGTTATAAGTGCTTGTTTGCACAGTTCTTTGAGAATTAAAGAGGTAAACTGGTAACGCTACTATAAATAATAAATCTTACTGACTGCTTGCGAGCAACATATTTACCTTTTTTTAAAAGAATTTCCATACATGTTTTTGCACCTGAAAATGCAGCTGCATGGATAGGCATACATCCTGTTTTGTTTGGTTTACATATTTTCCCGCCATTTTCAATCTGAAAAATAATGCCTGGATATAGCTTAATGACATACAGAAAATTCTGACTAATGAACATACTATTACAGGTATAGTCTCCTGGGTAGCTATCTCCTTTTTTATGTTGTATATGCATTGTGAAGTTTATATACAAACATCTTTTACATGTTATATCCATACATTTATACATACATGTGCTTCATTTTGTGTTCTGATGACCTTCAAAATTAGTTTAAGTTTTTTCCTATTTGCCACTCAGATATATTTATATATGCTCTTAAAAGATTAAAGTTTATTAATAACTTATGCAAAGTAACTTGAGTATTAGATTCATGATTAACTTTCCTCCATTGAACAAAGACAGAACACAGGAACAGAATAACATTGCATAAAGGTAAACAGAATCATATCAAAAGATGATAGATAATTGTACCTACCAGGAGTGTCAGTGCTTCAGGATTATCCTTGTAACATGCTACAATTATAGGTGTGTTCCCTGCTTCACCTTCCAAATTAACATCTGTACTGCTATGCTGGACTAAAATCTAAATGTTTAAGAGAACATTCAGTCAGCTGTAAGCAAAATACAACAACAAAGGCCTGTTCCATTACTTTTGTTTTTTATCACCCATAGCACTCTTGCAACTTACTCTTTTTGCATGCCAACAGCCCACAATGCATAAGCAGAGGAGGGAAAAAATAAGGGAGAATGTAAAAATATGCAGGTGAAAAACGCAGGTGAGAAAAAGATAGTACAATTCTTTACAGCAGACAGCTGGGTAACTAGGATAAACACTGCATATAGCTGCAGAGTATCTTGAAGTTGTATTTAGCAATCTCCCCAATACTGGGAGAAAATCTTTTCTGCAGCAAATTGCAGATGGGTATTTTAAACTGAAGTTTGTTATAATGTCTTGTAATATTCTATGTTCCCTGGGAAGTTGCAATGTTGTAGATCCTGCTCGATTAGGCATCTATTGGACAGTTATATTATATAACTGGGATCAAGGGAGACGGGTCTTGATGAAAACAGGGACTCTTCCAGTCCTGAATTCCTGCTTCAGTCCCTGTGCTAACAGCTAACACTGAGATACCTGCATCACCAAGCACCTCTAGGACCACTTCCAGCGTTTTTTGAGAAGCAAAGATCTGGAAATGATAATGACCTTACTGCACCACATATTTATTCCTCTATCTACATATTTATTTAATTGTCTGTCAGTAATTACAATAAATTCTTCTGTACTGGAGGAACTGGCACTTTCCAATCACTCTCAGGCAATTTGACAATAGAAACCAAAGGAGAATTAGCTTGAATAAACAACCGAGTGGGGAAAAAATGAGAGCACATATTTAGTCAAGACCAGAGCTGTAAAGTAACCCAAACCCAACACTTGATACAAAGCCCATTTTAAAAATGTCATTGTATTTCAGATTTTATTGTTCTTAATTTATAGTAAATACAGACTTTGTAAAAGATCTGAGGACAGTGAAATACTTTAGCACTTAAAATCTCTAAAGGATTTTAAGTCTTGAATACAGGAATATGTTTCTTTCTTTTGTTTGGATGAACCAGAAAAAAGACAACTTTAAAGGGAAAAGCAAGTGATGTGGTGTTATGGTTGTATTCACCTAGCAAATTTAAGAACCTTAAAAATTCTGAAATTCTATCCAAATGCCACATATGGAGTGAAAACATTCTCACTGCACTTGGACAAATGATGAAAAAATCATGCTGCTTAAAATCTCAATGCTGTTGCTATTTTACAAGGTTCAAAATGGACAACTTAGTAATTTCTTCACAAAGTATTTTTGTGATTTTTTTTAATTGCAACTTTAGCTATTACTCAAATGATTATTAAAATGTTGATTTTAAAAACTGTGTTTTCTGACTAATTTTAATCTGGTTTTCATAAAAAAAAATACATGAGTTTCAAGAAAATTTTCATACTTCTATAACTCCCTATACAGTTGTAAAAAAAAATAATCGTAATGTAAACATTTGAAGTAACACATGCTTACATGAAATTTCAGTGTTAAAAAGAATATTTGTAAATAAAATTCCTTGTGTTTGGAAAATTTAAAAGAATTCTCCATGAAACATAATGACTACTAATGCTACTAATCATAGCACAAATATTGGTATTTATATAAATCAGCAAGTTTTGATATACATGCTTCTATAAGCATCCTATGTTACACATCCTGCTCACAAAAAAAGCATATGAGGAGATACAGCATATATAAACAAGGTCTTGGTGTTCTGCATGCAGCTGCTTGGAGCTACTTATCAAATCTGCATACTTATGTGGACTTAGACTTACCTTAACGATTTCATTATGCAGGGACTGCACAGCCATATGCAAAGGTGCCATCATATTGGAGTTGAGAATGTTTGGATTGGCTCCTCTGCTGAGAAGCAAACTAACACTTTCAATCTGGTTTTTCTTTGTGGCCCAGTGAAGTGGGGTATTTCCAGAAGAATCCATTACATTTAATACTAGGTCAAAGAAGAGAAAACAAAACAAAACAAAAGCAGAACCATCAAATGTTCTGATCACACTGAAAAAAAAAATTAATTGTCTTGAATGGAGGTTTAGGTTTGTACTACTGCATTTCTTTAAAGAGAAAAAGGGAAAGATTGCATGTCACACAGTGCATTGTGTCAAATGGATTAAATGTGCTGAAATGTAGGTGAAAAAATTAGCTTTTTGGAGCCACTGTATGTTTGCTCAGTAGCCCACAGTCTATCAGTGGAGTTCTATGTAGTTCACAATGCTTATTAATAACTACTAAACAATATCTTTTACACAGAGTGTTTTTCCATCATTCAAGGCCCCATGTTCTCCTACTTATGACTTCTTCTCTAAATTTCCTTACATGGTCTATCTCATCAAATGTTTATCCTTCCCCACTATTAAGTAAAAAAGATGTGATCACAACTTAAATGACAAGTACGACAAACCAGATTACTTCTCTTTTACATTTCCAGTATTTTAAATGTAACAAAAGACACATAACATGTACAAGGAAGACAAAAAGTCAAGCCTACTGTACTTCACTGCAGTTTTCTTTTTCATATCTGAAGACTGTAAAACTGAGTTCCAAACAAAATAAGATATATTGAATCACTGCACTAGAGATAAAACAGTCTTAACATAACAAGGGTGACCCAAACCACAACCAACTCACTGCAAACTGTGGCAGACAGTTTGAACTACATTTAAATCTATAAATGTAGGTAACATACTAGTTCTGCTTCAGTTGGGTAACAAACACTTTGATTACTGAACTTTTTCATTCCATTAAATAAAATAGTTCATAAAATGTGCATTACCTTCACAAGAAGAATCGTCTATGATCAACTGCATTAATTCTATTTGACCTCCTTCTGCAGCATGATGGAGTGGGGTGGCATTTAATTCATCCACTTTGGTAAGCCCAGAACGATTCTTCTTAATGAAGCTCCGAAGCCTACAGGCACTTCCATCTGAAATCACCTATTTTGGAAAAAAATATTCTCATTTTCTCATTTTACTAACAGGTAAGATGTTAGCAATACTATAATGCGTTACTGTGGGCATGTTACCACGCAATAATTCTCTCACAACTGTTCAGTTTCATAAAGAATTACACAAATCCCGATCAGATTGAGTCAACAGTGAAACTCAGGCTGATTTGATAGATTGGAAAATCAGACTCAGACAAGAAACAGTGCAAAATTAACAAAAATGGAAATTATCTTGACTACATTATCTTGTCTTTCGTCATGAGCTCAAGATCCACCTTCCAACACAGAAAATCTCAAACAAGCAAAGTCGTCACTTACTGTTTTATACTCTCTCCAGCTGTGGCCACATTAAATGAATTCAACAGAGAGGAAAAATTAATAATCTTGAAAAATTCCTTTTTGGACCTTTCTACAGAGACTGATATTATGTCCTGGGCTTTCAAGTTCAGCTGTTGGGTTTTTGTGATGTTCTTTATGTCACAGCAACTAAAAAATTCTTTAATTTCAGCAGTAGCCTAAGACCATCCCATGGGCTACTATCTCCATCTGAAACAATCCAGCATTTTTACAGTGTAATACAGTAAAACCCCCTCCGACAGCTCTGCCTGCTGACACCTTGATACCTCCCTGGTACTGTGCTTTGCAACTAAAGCCCACTATGGAAACCCTGCTGATTCTTACTTTATGATGTTCTCCAAATATTTTTGTTAAGAGTGTTTCAAAACCCATACCTGTGTATGCAGAAAAGTGGTAGGAAAAAAAATGATTGCTGCAGAATGGGCAGGAATTTAAAAACAAGTTATTAAAAAATTAAAAGGGAATTAACCACCCCACACATAATTCAACAAAATTGGGAGGAGAAAAAGGAGAAAAATGCATATCAAAAGTAATGCAAACCTTCCCAAAAATGAGTAAGCAAGCAAAGGTTAAAAAGGGAAATCCTCTAAAATCACTGTTCCTTCCTCCGCTGCAAAAGGAAAGGAAAACTTTGCTCTCCAGAATCCCCTGAGCCACAAAGACTCAACAATTTTTGCTGTCATTAAACAAATATACATTACAGGACAGCCCACTCATACACTTAAGCACTTGTTTAACTTCCTTCAGCTTAATAGTCCCATTGACCTCAGCGCGGTTACTCACGTGAATAATGTTACAAATGTGTTTAAAGATTTAGAAGACTGGGGCCAAACACAGGAACAGCATCTGCTTCAAAAGTGCAATCAGAAAAAGCTAACAGAAAACAGGCGATATCATTGTGGAAAGTGTACTTAAGATGACTCAATTGTCTTAAAAATAAGAGGTCAATTGCATACACGAATATATATACATTTTACACACATCAAAAAGCTATTTAAGAAAATCTTATTACAGAGCCCAGTTATCTTCTATTCCTTCTAATATTCTAACTTGATTTTAATTGTAATGAATGTCAAATCTTTTGATTGTTTTAGACCATATTTTGCCACTATTTATAGGGATTTTTTTGTCAATGTAAGACAAAATATGTCCAAAATGTAGCACATAGTAATTTTTATCAAGAAAAATAAAATTTTTCAGCCAATACTGCAGTGTTTCTTTAACAAAATAGGCAAGGAAGAAATTACTTTGGTGTTCTCAGTATTTTGGTTGGTTCAAAACAGCAAAGCAAGCTATTTTAAACAACAGCAGCTCATTTGCCCTTTGCCTGAACAGCTCTGTAGCAGCAGATCACCCACCAGAGTGACAAACTGTGTTATGCTGAAGAGGTGTTGCTCAGGACTACAGCTATCACACAGAAAACAAGGCTGGAAATTACCTCAAGAGGTCTTTAAATCCATCCATATACTTCGTCTAATGTGTTTAGCCTGCTCTTAAATGAAAGTTATCCAAGTCATCCATCCTGTAAGCAACTTCTTCCTTTCCTTAATTATTCTTACCCTTATAAAAGGCTTCCCTAATGTTTGGTCTAGGTCTCCCTAGCTGCAGTATAAATACATCACTTCTTGTCGTATTCTCTATGGAAAAGGGAAGATGTTAGATCCTTCCTGGGAGCAATTACGCATTGTAGGTTGTGCTGCTGGTTCCCTTTCCCTTCATTACCGTGCCAGTGCTTCTGAACTTTCCTTTTGGGACATTTTTGCTAGCTGGTCTACTCATTCCCACCATGACCTTCTGGATGTCCCTCTAAGAGGCCAAGTCTTTCTTTCCGGGGAGCTGTGCCCAGGTGGGATGTGAGCCCTGCGGCAGCCGCCTGCTACCCACCACCCATCCCTGCCACCTCGCATCCTCCTTCGCCTGCTCCCCTCCTGCGTTCCCGCTCACCCCGCTCCAGACTTGATGACACAACGCCGCAGCGTCCTGTGCCTTCCACACCCCCAGGGCAGGGCGGCTCCCAGCCTGCCGCCCACCCCTCGCAGCCCTTCCCTCACGGCTCCATTGATGAGTGAGGGGAAAGGGTCTCCTGGAGGAAAGGGTCTCTGGGACATAACCAGTGCCAAGCTGCCACCAGAGCCCCACCTCACCCTCACCCACCTTCAGCTTCCACCTTTGCCCCTCCTTGGCCCAATGCCCTCACACGAGCCCCCGTCTTGGGCACCATCTTGTCCACGCCGGCCTCGGTGCCTCAGGCCGCTCGGCTGCCCCGAGGCTGTCCCCTCACGCTCACAGCCGCCACCCAGCCCTCGGGACACCCACTCCCTCCGCGCCCCTCCGCACGCACCTTGAAGACATCCTGCGAGGCGACGGAGGCGGCGTCCGCCTCGCAGACGACGCCCTGGTAGGCGCTGGAGACGGCCGCCTTCTCCCGCGA